AATGATTTTTAGCTACATCCTTTTGTAGTATTTCCAGGGGTGCTTTAAGGGTTGCCGTATTCATCTTTAACTTATCAGTCTATTTATAGTTGCTATTATGTCACTTCATGAAATGGAAGAAACTTGGAACAGTGTAATTTACTTAACCCCATCTCTGAGAAACTTTGTGCTATTATACACATATGTGTTATTAACTCCAGAATGAGCTGTTATAATATTTGCATTAAAATTCTGGTCTCTTGGGGGTGCCTGGATGGCTCAGTCAGTTAAGCAACCAACTCTTGGTTTCAGCTCAGGTCATGCTCTCACCATTCATGAGTATGAGCCCTGCATTGGGCTTCACAGTCAGTGCCTGGGACTTTTTCTCCCTCTCTCTTTCTCTGCCCCTCCCCAGTGTGCACAAGCACTCTCTCTGAAAATAAATAAAAATAAACAAAAAAAAAAAAAAAAGAAAGAAAGAAAAAGGTCTCTTTTACATGAAACACAATAAGGTATGTGGTTTTTTTTTCTCACATATTAACCATTTTCAACGCTCTTCACTTGTGTAGATCTGGGTTTCTATATGGTATCACTTTCCCTCAGCCTGAAGAATTTACTTTATTAATGCTGTCGCAGCTCTGCTGGTGACAAATTCTCTCACCTTTCATTTATTTGAAAATGTCTTCTTTTATGGGGGGTTCACTTTTGAAGGATCCATTTACTGGATATAGAATTCTATATACACTTTTTTTCAGCACTTTAAAGATGTCACCCACTGTTTCCTGCCCCAAACTGTTTTGATCAGTCAACCATCATTGCAATGTTAACCTCTAGCAATTAAAGTGTTTCACTGTTCTCTGAATATTTTCAAAATATTCATTTAATCTTTAGATTTTATATGTGTGATTATAAAGTTCCCAGGGGTACTTTTCATTATGTTTACTCTGCTTGGAGTCCACTGAGCTTCTTGGATCTATAATAAATTTTTTTATTACCAATTTTGGGAAATCTTTTGACTATTACTACTTTAAATATGTTTCTGCTTTACTCTCTTCTCCTTCTACGATAGCTTATCAGGAGGCTTGAGACTGTCACACAGAGTTTCGTAGCTCTTTTAAATTTTTTTCAATATTTTTTTCTGTGATTTTTATGTCAGATAATTTTTATTGATCTATTTTTATTTCTACTGATTATTGCTTCCATTCTGCAATTGTCAATCTGTTATGAAAACCCATACCTTTCAGGTATTATACATTTTGGTCTAGAATTTTCTATTTTTTAAAGTAGTTTCTATTTCTTTGCTGAGATTCCCTACTGTACACTCACTGACCACATAACTATCATGATAAAATTAGTTGACTGAATATCCCTTATTTGCTAATTACATCTCAGGTTTTGTTTATATTGAATGCTATTTTTAAAAAATATGTGTCCTATTATCCTGTATGTATAAGACTTAGAATGTCTTTATTTTTTTATCATGAATCAAACAATTTTACCATGTATCAAAACAATTTCTATGTTATCAACATTCTGATTCTTAATAGTCCTCTAAAGAATGTTGATTTTTGTTTTATTAGGAGTTAAATTATTGACAAATGACCTTCATCTTGGGCAGGATTAGTTCTATATTGTTTTCAGGTTAGTTTCAGTTTTGTCCTTAGGCTTAGAACAAATCCTGTTCCTACAGCAGAGAAGGGTCATGGTCCTTCTAGGGTTTTTAAGAAAAGTGTGATGTATTTATTATGATCCTCTAACTTGGTGGATTGAAATTCCAAACTCAGTCTCTCCTGCACTGAGTGGCAGCTGAAATACTGGCTTAGCTTTTTCAGTCTTTCTGTTTTTAACTTTTTCCAGGCTTTTTGGTGTCTTTCACCCCAAAACAAACAGGTAAGGGAAGTTTGCTTACAGATTTTGACTCTTACTTCTCTGTTATTTTTTTTTTCCTGTGATTTCCCCCTCAGCTTGAGCAGCTCAGGCACCCCCATGTCCTTCTTTGGAATCTCAAACTAATAAGATTGCTGCCTTCTGATTCTAGCCATCCTTTCTGGGGTTGAGGGTTTTCCTGGAATTTGGGACCTCCCATGCTCAAATCAGGCAAATTGGAGGCTAATAGGGACAAGTTGGTCATCCTTTAACTGCCCTCTGTGGAAAAGCCACATAATTGTACATCTCATCCAATTCAGTTTCATCTCTCTGTGGTCAGATGTTCAACACTTTCTGCTTGCTTTGGTAACTTTCTAGTACTTTACACAGTTTGTTTAATATTTTGTCCACTACTTATAATTTTTAGCATGCAGGATGGCTAGCCAATTTCTACATTACCAGGACTAGAACTGCAGTAATATACTTTGATTTCCCAAGTGATAAGAGATTTGCTATCAACAACCAAACTGGTCCAACTTTTGACCTCATAATTCATTTTTGATAATAATCATAATAATATAATAATAATAATAATGTCAAATTATTAGTAAAAATAAAACTTTATTCAGAAAAAGTTAAACTGCAAAAAGATTCTCAAACATATTGACAATGGCTTGCTTAGATGACAGAATCAGGTAGTAGTTTTTTTTCTGTTTTATTACAATTTTAAAATTTTAATATAAATGCATATTTGCATAGGTATACATATATTATTTACAATGAAAGTATAAGCATCATAATTACCAAATAATGGTTAAATATGTGTTATAAACATATTTTCTTAAAAATGGGCAAGAATAAATGCCCCAAACTAAAAGGTAATTAAAAAATAAATTAGTGGATAAGGTGTCTTCCAAATACCAGTGAATATAATATGTATTGCAAATCTTAGAAAATATATCAAAATAATTTTCTTCAGAGTACTCACCAGACAGGAAAGGTCCTGAGAGGCAAACTGAAGCTTAGCCAGGAATAGGGCAGGTAAAATTGTATACAAATGCTATAAAAAAATTTTTAAAAAGTAAAATTTCACAGATTCTTTTAATATGCTGAAAGGTGTTCCATTAGTAAAATAGATTAGAATTTACAGAGACTGTTATGATACTGAGAAGGGATCAATATATGAATTACTACTTTGGGAATATGATAGCATTCATTCTCTCAGGTTAATATGCTTGTCACTAAACTCAGGAGAAAAAAAACCTTAAGATGCAAAATTGGAAATATAGAAGACAGAATTGTCACATCAATTTTTCATGTGCTATAAACAATATTTGCAAGCTAATGGCCTACATACGTTTGGTGTGGCTTCCTTTGTGTTTTAAAAATGGGAACATTTCTCATAATTTTATTTCCATTTCCTCTGGCAACTCTAACTAGAACAGAGCAGTGGCAACTCCATTCAGAAGGGGTGTGAACACTTCAATGTGTATCATTTCCAACCCTTAAGTTATTCAGAAACACAGCCCTTTTCTTTCATTTATCTTATTGGCTTGGTTTTGGTAGGCATCTGGCCTTAGCCTACAAAAATACAGTAGGATATCTTCATTAAAAACAAAGATACAGCTGGGGCGCCTGGGTGGCTCAGTAAGTTAAGCTTACTGAGCCTGACTTTGGCTCAGGTCATGATCTCATAGTTCCTGGGCTCGAACCTGATTCCCACTTTAGTCTCTGTGTTGACAGCTTAGAGCCTGGAGCCTGCTTGGGATTCTGTGTCTCCCTGTCTCTCTATACCTCCCTTGCTCATGCTCTATCTCTCTCTCTCTCTCCCTCAAAAACAAATAAACATCAAAAATTAAAACAAAACAAAGATACAACTATTAACAACCTAGCATCTTTTTGTAAATAAATGTAAACATAAAGAGGGCCAAAGTTCTTCACAGTGTAGCAAGGAACAAGAAAATTACAAAGATAGAGATTTACAATTTTTCTCCCTCTATTTTAATAACAATAGAAAGAAGTCACTTGCCTGCTTCCTGTGACTATTGTTTTGACTGGATTCTGTTTAAATGTCATAAAATGAGGCAGATTTTTAAGGCCTTTAGGATTCCAGGTGTGTCTGTTAGACCCTTTTTGCTTCATTGTCAGAATGAATTTCCTCAACTTATATCAATTCTCTCTGCTTTCCTCGGGCAGAGTTTAGGGTTGTGGTTGGAATATTCTATTCCTCTGCCTCCTGGACTCCTTACTCAAGTTCCCCACTTGGAAGACTTTCTGGTTTTGAAATGACTCCCTGCTATATGGCACAAGGCATCTTATTAGTCCTCTTCACCTGTATCTGTTCATAAACACCTTTGCTGTGGTCTGGACTCTACTGGAAACTTGAAACAATTTTCACTTTCTTCTTATGATGAGTAATGGGGTTTCCTCTGAGGCATATGAACAAGGATGGCACAGAGGGATATCTCCCATGTATCAGTATCCATGGTAACATTCTAAGCAAGAAGGAAGCATGCTACCACGACTCATCCACCCCAGAAATTTTCAGGATTGTCACCAAGCAGAACAACAACAAAAAAGGTAATTCCCATACAGTGAATAGAAATCTCCTTATATTATTAAATGTCCTCTTGACCTTTCCCCTTTGACCAACTCTCTTCAAAAAGCAGCCACTATTTTGTGGTCTATATTCTTTACTTAAACAACTATCTCAGTGTAATTATTTTCATCCTTCAAGTGTTTGTGTCTTTACATTTTCACTGGGGAAAGGGAACAAAAAAAGGGAGGAGTGAATCCTGGGGAGCGTAGAATTTTTTCTTGTCTTTTAATTCTATCAATGTTTTCTCCCTTCATTCAAATGGAAAATTCACCAAATCTGTTTCCCTACAGGGAGATTTAGAGAGAAACGGTCATTCCTCCCCCATCCCCCACTTTTGCCCCTCCTTCTCCTACAGTGTAACCGTGACTTCTAAGACTTCACGATTTTAATAAGGATTCTTGGCAGATCTGATGAGACAAACCTTCTGTCACTGGTGATATAGTTTAGGGGCTTGCTAAAGAATCTCTCGTTCCCATGAAAGTCAGTCTTTGCATGCTTGTGTGTGCAGTAAGGAGTTTAAAAGCGCTGGGAAGACACCACGCATGTGTTAATTCGTGCTGCAGCAGCGTGCATCACTTCCACTTTGACCTCATAGTTAATCTGCGTGATAGTTAATCGCGCAGAGACTCTTTGATTTTTTTTAAAATTTCTTTTAAACACACACACACATACACACACACACACACACACACACACACACACACACACAGCCTTAGCCCTGCCTGCCCTCACTAAAAGAAAAAAATCAAAACAGCAAACAAATAATCCTAAAACGATGGACCGGGGGAGTATGTGTAAGTGTCAGGGGCAGGAGTATGTGTAGAGTGTGCGCGCATCTCTCTCCCTTATTTGTCTCGGTGTGCGTTTCTCCCTGTACCCTCCCCCTGCCTCAAATACATTATTCCCCTAGTCTTGGAAGCCGCTCCCAGAGCTGACGCTTTGATGGTATCTGCAAGCGTTTGTGTTGATCTTATTTCTGCCCCCTGAATATTAATTCCCAGAGCTGATGGCAACACAGCATCTCAGTGAAGGGACCTACTAGAGGCAGGTGGGGGGAGCCACCATCAGATCATAAGCATAATAATAATACAAAGGGGAGGGATCCTTCTGCAACCAAGAGGCTAGAGGCAGAGGAGGAAAAAAAGCGATGAGTCCGACAAATATATGGAGCACAGGAAGCTCAGACTACTCGACTCCTGTATTTTCACAGAAAATGACGGTGTGGATTCTGCTCCTGCTATCGTTCTACCCTGGGTAAGATGTGCTGTTTTCAGCGTTGTTTTGTTCCGGAGACGTGGGGGAGGGGGGAGGGATGTGGAAATAGGGAGACCACCCAGATTTTAAACACTGTTCTGGGATATGGGGTTATAAATGAGGGGAATGTGAAAATAGGGGGGCAGAAAAGAGAGGGAGAAAAGGGGAAGGTCACTTTCATTTATTTCTTAATTTTTTTGGTTTCATTTGTTTTGTTTTAGAGTAGAAAAGCTAACGTCATGAAGACTTTGTATTTGGGGAGTAGCATTTTGATAATACTGCAATCTGATATGGAGGTGGGCTGAACTGATACATGCCGGCAATTGAGGCCATGTTGGAGGCATTTTGGGTGGGGGGGTCTAGAGCAGAAAACTGCAAATGGGATCCTGGATCACACCCAGGAGATGTATGTATGTGGCAGGGAGGGGTTCTGTTCCTGTACACCAAAGTATTGCTTGCTCCTGCACCTGGACATTCTTAAGATCAGTCAGCCAGATTTTCTATTCAGCCCCATTGACCTGGCAGCAGATTCCCTGATGGGCAGACATGGTTCAGCACCAGGGACAGCAGTCCCAGTTAGGGCCAAAAGGAAAAGAAGCTTATCTAATCCCATAGGACAGCTGTAATTCTATACAGGACATCCCTATAGTGCAGACAGGCCAAGGGAGCCAGAGAGCACTAAAAACCTCTGGGGGTGGGGGGGCTATTCTGATTTCTCTACACCCTCCAGGAGGTGGGAGGAGGACTGGGGCATGGGGTGGATAATGTAGTTGATGAATTTATAGAGGATATATGGCTAGAAAAGAGGTGGTCTTGCTGCAGTGTTGAAAAATAAGCTAAACGAAGTAAATGTTAAGCCAAAATTGTGAAGTTATGCATTGATACCTTAAAGCCTTGCTGCACTAAATGGAAAATGGGTAAGGGGAAGATGAATTCCTAAAAACGCTGAGCAATTATATGCTCTGAAGTGCTTTGCACCCAAATTTTCCTGAACTTCATTGCACCAAAAGTATCAGGAGAATATTCTTCCACCTATAGATCATCATTTATTTACACACCTGAATAGCCCCTGGACCTCACGTACACATACCCTCAGGATTTCTAGCCAGGGCCAAAGTCAAGTTAGAAGTCCACTACTTACACTTCTTACTTTCCTCTATACTGTCATTTTGAAGTAAAGCTCTGGAAGAATTACTCTCATCTTCCTCCACCTAGCACCCCACAAAAAGAAGAGAAAAAAAAACTAGCTATAGAAGAAATCAAGTCATTGCCCTAAGGTTTTTGTGGGAGTTGATACTCTTGTGTAGTAGTTGTGGCAAAAGAAGACAAAAGGCATGAGGGTTAAACTTTTATTTTATCAAAATTTTCTACTTAACTTCTCTGGTCCTCCATTCTCTAGGGTAGGTATTGGCAGATAAAGATTTCTGATAAAGAAGAGACACAGGGAAAACAAGGAGTGAAAGCCTTTTTTTTTTGGAGTTTTTAAGCAGAGCCAGGTTTTGCTTAATTCTTTCAGCACTTTTCATACCTTTGTTCTTTACTATAAAAATAGAATGTGTTTTCATTAAGAGTATAAGATTAGGTAGCTTTCTCAGAAGTGTATACTACCTTTCACTGGAAATTGTTCTATGCAATACATTTGAGTGGAATCCTGGAAAATCATTTTTTCCATTTAAAAATTATGCATATATATTTCTGTTCAGTGTTTTGTGTAGCTTTTAATTTGTCTCAGGAATTAAAGAGTTGATAGTTGCTTATGGATAGAATATCATTCTCATATTGTTACCAGTTATGAAACCTGTGGATTGAAATCTAGACAGGACATAGGGAAATATGTCTTTCCTTCCTCTTCATGTCTATCTTAGTAAACAATTTTATAACTAAATCAATGAAGATATTCTTATTTATCTCCAATAGCCTTATTTTAATGAAAAATATATAATTTTATTATTTTTCATAATAGTATCATATTTAACATGCCTTTTTGTTGCCACAGCTCTGACTTTTCCAATATTATATAAAAAGTAAAACTTTAGTGATACATTTTAATTTTCAATTCTTTGCTTAGTACCCTAGATGAGCTTTTTAGATAGCTCTAAATAATGTAAATAATGTGTAATGTAAACTCTCCAATAGGAAGATTTGCATATTTTCTCAGTAATGAGAGGGAATGGAGTCATTGCAGTTTAGTGCAGAGAATGTGATCAGAGTTTTAGTTTGCTGCAATCTCATAAAAAAAAGCCATTTGAGTGGCTGAATAGGGCCGGATGGAAATAGAAGCTTTGATGTCTAAAGCTGATTCTAAAGGAGGACAAAAAAGCATCTGGGAAAATGAGGGATCCTAGGAGCCAATTTAAGAGAGGTTTGGGGGGTAAATAGTGGCAGTAGAACAACCTAGAAGGTTGAAGGGAACTTTAAGAAACAAATATTTAATTGACTTTTTCATTTATATACCTGCAAAGAATAAGTTTTTACCCCTTATTGACTAAATTTATTACGTTGTGTTTATACCAAAGGAAAACAAAGAAGATATAAAGCATTGGGATGAGGATGTTAGCACCTAATATCTCTTCTTGTGTGGGAAATATTAGTTTCTGAAACTCAAAATTATGTATAGTGCTGTCATAAGAATCACCTAAAAAACTTGCCAAAATGGAGATTCCTGAACCCTACCCTGAAAGATTCTGAATCTTTATTTCTGGGATGGATCTCAGGAATATTCACTTCCAATAAGTACCCTAGACCCACATTGAAAAAAAGTGGTATTTACTTTGCTGATTTCTAGAAGTTTATTTATCACCATATTTAATATTTACAAGTGCTTTGAATAATGCCATTTTATTCAACTGAGCATAATGAGTCAATTTCATATACAGAATTTTTCATTTGTAACATTGGACATATTATATAAACCACAAAGGATAAGGAATACCTAGAAAGAATTTTAGTAAACCCAACTCATGTGTGAGTAAACATTGGCTGAAAAAATAAAATATGCATACATGTGTGAATGTGTGTGTAATTATATTCACAAACTACATACACTCCATGTACAACTTTTCATACATACAGGTTTTAAAACAAATTTTACAATTTTATAAACTCTTTCAATGTAACTACATTCCACCTCAGAGTAAAGATACCCTAACAAGAAAAAAGAAATAGAAATTTTAATGTAATAGAAACTTTTTAGAATAAATAGGAATAAGTGTTAAAAGCAAATATATTTTTATTTCTATCAGATAAAATAAGATTTTTATAACATAATTTTTTTCAAGGATAGATTGAATAGACATGAATTTGATTAACTTTCTGATATTAAATGTAACCCTTACCTTGAAGTTTGAGCACTGAATTTTATTTCATTTATTAATCTATTTTTTATTTTTTTGAGTTTATTTTGAAAGAGTTAGAACATGAACAGAGGAAGGACAGACAGAGAGAGAGAGAAAGAAGGAGGGAGAGAATCCCAAGCAGGCTCTACGCTGTCAGCACAGAGCCTGACTTGGGGCTTGAACCTATACAGACCTTGAGATCATGAGTTGAAACCAAGAGTTGGATGATTAACTGACTGAGCCACTCAGGTGCCCCACACTGAATTATAAAAGAAGAAAACTGAGTTCAAGACTTGTAAATATTTTCTGTTCTTAGCTGTTTTCTGAACAGAAATGCTTCAGGTGACTCTTACGGTGAGCTGCTAAAGATTTTGACCCATAACCAATTTTTTCATAGTTTTAACTTTAACAGGCTATGATCCTGCTTGTAGAGAGGATCTTGTGATTCTTCACTATAACCCTGTTTGTTAACAGAATTCATCTCTAGCTACAACCTTATTCTTTCCTATATTTCTAAATCATCCACTTGGTTTTATTTAGAAGAAAAATAATTTCCTCAGCATAGTTAATTGCTTAGTTGTAGGTGTAAAATTTCAAACAGTCTACCCTGGGGCAAACATGTACCTGGAAAAAAAAGAAAAAAGAAAAATATGATCACCCAGTATTTCTCAAAATCCAGCTGCCCATCACCATCTACACAAAATATTTGACTTATAGGCAGGAATTTAAGAATTGGCTTTTAATTTAAGTAGTTACATAAATGTCTGTCTGATATCTTAGACTTCATTTAGAATAATCTCCTCAAAATAATTGAACTACAGAATACTTAATGATACAAGTCTCTGTTCTACACACTTGAAATTTGCTTCCATGTCAAAAAATTTTCAAGTTGGGAGTGCCTGGGTGGCTCAGTTGGTTAAGCATCTGACTTTTGATTTCAGCTCAGGTCATGATCTCACAGTTCATGAGTTCAAGCCCCACAATGGTCTCAGTGCTGGTAGCATGGAGCCTGTTTGGAATTCTCTCTCTCTCTCTGTCTCTCGCTCTCAGTCTCTCTGCTCCTCCCCACTTGCACTGTCTCTGTCTCTCTGAAAATATATAGACTTAAAAATTTTTTAATGTTTTTACTTATTTTTGAAGGAGAGAGAGAGAGAGAGACAGAGCATGAGTGGGGGAGGAGCAGAGAGAGAGGGAGACATAGAATTTTAAGCAGGCTCCAGGCTCTAAGCTGTCAGCACAGAGCCCGACTTGGGGCTTGAACTCACGAACTGTGAGATCATGACCTGAGCTGAAGTCGGACCCCAACTGACTGAGCCACCCAGGTGCCCCTGAAAATAAACAAACTTAAAAAAAAAAGAATTTTTCAAATTGAAGGGAAATAATGTTAACTTTGGAGACTTTATCTTTGTTGTAAATATGTTAGTAGGGCTCTGGCTCCTTGTCACTGCCACAGTTTCCTAGCCATTCCCAAACAGGCTTTTCATTGTTCAAATACAAGTAGACTTTGCTGGAATGACACATACTTGTTTTTTTAAATGTTTTTTTTTTTTTTAACATTTGTTTATTTTTGAGAGACAGAGAGAGACAGAGCACAAGTGGGGAGGGGCAGAGAGAGAGGGAGACACAGAATCTGAAGCAGGCTCCAGGCTCTGAGCTGTCAGCACA